CCTTACGACAACAAGCTGAGAGCCCGGGGGCTCTTCAGCCTGGAAAAGCGCAGGCTCAGGGGTGATCTGATGGCCACCTATAAGTTTATCAGGGGTGTCCACCAGTATCTGGGGGAACGTTTGTTCACCAGAGCGCCCCAAGGGATGACAAGGTCGAATGGTTACAAACTCTGCACGACTGTTTCAGGCTGGACATAAGGAAGAATTTCTTTACTGTCTGAGCCCCCCAGGTCTGGAATAGCCTGCCATCAGAGGTGGTTCAAGCACCCACTTTGAACGCCTTCAAGAGAAAATTGGATGCTTATCTTGCTGGGATCCTATGACCCCAGCTGACTTCCTGCCCCTGGGGCAGGGGGCTGGACTCGATAATCTTCTGAGATCCCTTCCAGCCCTAATGTCTTTGAAATCTGTGAAAGTGTTTTTGAGTTCCTAATTGTAAGTGACCTGGCTGTATATAGAGTAGTATTGCTTTGCTCTAACCAGTCTTTTTCTGATACAAAGAGCAGTGTACTTTTAGCGTGGGACCAGAGAAGGCTCCTGCCTAGGTACAAAGGACGGTACGGCAACACAGTTAGGGAACAAAACATTTTATTGACTTATCGTCTTAGCCTATGGGCATTAGATCATTCAAAGGCAAAGAGACAACAACATGATCCCCTTAAGACTTGCTGTTATTGCCTTTTATAAATACAAACCAGCCTATTTCTTCTCCTTTAATCTGCACCCTGGGTGAAGCAATCTTTAATGTCATCTTGTGACACTCACTGGCATTTGTGTGGGGATCCTTGCACATCCAAAGCATTTCCCTAACGCTTCGCTCAAAGCTGTCAACTCTTCAGAGCCCTTTTAAAACAGGATTTGTAGAAGAGATCCTGTGCTTACGTGTACAAGATGCAAGAGTGCCAGTGCCAAGAAGAGTGTGTGCTCTCGCAGAATTCATGATGGGCTCAGTGGTGGAGCTCAGATGCAAATGATGTGGCTGATGTTATACTTGCCAGGCTGTGACCAGGCCATGAGAAAAGACAAGGCAAATGCATCCTAAGGTTTACCTTTTCATGAAATAGGTTTTCCCTAAGGGTTTTTTTTTTATGTGTTTTGTTTTGTTTTTTGGCTGTTTCCTTGTAATGGACAGCAGTAATTACAGTGCGGTTTGTTCAACGCATTAAGCTAAGAGAACAGACGTAAAGGACATTGTTTTTTTTTTTTTTAAGAGAACATGCACCCTGCAGCTCATGAGTTAAACAGTACATTGCGACCATTACTTGTATTAACCTGGCACCCAGTGCCGTTCCAAGTGGTAGGGTGAGTGGGGCGACCAACCTGGGCACCAAATCAAAGGGGCGCCAACAGGTGCTGCCCAGCTGAGACGGGCACAGGACGGAGCTGTGAGCAGCTCTTTTTGGGGGGAAGGCATAGGGATGGGGGAAGGATGGCTCCCACTGCTGCATGCACTCCCAGGCAAGCATGGGGGTTTCTGTGAGCATATTTGTGCATGGGGTGAGGGTGGGCTTTGCCCTGAGCACCAAACTTGGTTTCTATGCACTGCTGGCACCTATGGGACCCAGCAAGATCAGGTTCCCATTGTGCTAGGAGTTGCACCTAAACTGAAAAGCAGCCTCTGCCTTCATGAGACGATGATGTAAGTGGACAGCATGGGAGATGAAACAGGTCCAGAGGGTTGCAGTTACTTGCCTGAGGTTATTCGGTCAGTGGCAGGGCTGGACATGGAGCCCATGTCTACAGATTCCCACATTTGTATCATAATTGCTAGATCATACTGCCTTCCTTGCAGCGTGGCATGGGTGCAAATTGAGCTCCTAGGTGCAAATAGCTGCAGTGCAGGTAAGCTGAGCTCTGGGTGCTAGAGAGGTTTCCAAAGCCTTCTGCCTCCTTCCAGAAGCTTGCCTCCTGCCGCTCCGTACTGGCACTTACACAGATATGCTGCCAGAGGCCGGTGCTACCAGGCCTGCTTGGAGCAAACAAGCTTGTGGCAAGTTTGTAATAATGAGTGTTAAGTGGTGGAGAGGAACAGCCCATGAATTAGGAGTTCGCTTCATCTGAACATGCATTAAAGGCACTCGAGTTGTTAGTGAAATGCTCTCCCTCGGTGCATGGCCCCATGTTGCAAATCTAACACTAGATTTAGTGTGCCGGAAAGAGGAGAAGAGATCAGGTTGCCTCCGTGCTCTTGACTTTCTCCCTGAGGGAGAATAATCTTTCTGCATCCTCTACATATAATCTCTCCTGGTTACTTAGCAATTTGGTTTTGTCATCCTGTGTGCTTGTTTCCGCACCAGGTACAATGTCATTAGCAGAGTTAATCCTGCTTGAACATACACCTTCTTCTGTAAGGCATGATATGGCTCCCGGCTCAGTAACCTATGTAAAACAGTTCCTCTGTTTGCTGGAAAAGCTGACAATTAATCATCACTATCTTCCTTTCTTTCTTTTTTTCCTCAGCCACTTTTTCACCTTCACTGTAGTATTTTTGCCAAGTTTCTATTTATCTCCCAATTTTCTGATGCGAATGCATCAAGTTATGGGATCACTGAAATTGCAGTTTATTTTTGCCACTGGAGCCATTCAGTTATTTTGAGGACTGCCTAATTTTTCCAGCCACTTTGGCTGCATTGGGAAACTGCACAGTGATGTGAAGAAAAAAGCTAATCATTACCTGCTCTGTATGGCTTCATGTTAGATAACGGTACTCTTTGGGGGCTTTTCTATCTTCTTCAAACCTGGGCCTTGTTCTTCTGCGTTGCCTGAGTATTTGATCTGGGCTGGGCTCTGATGCTCTGTCCTGGGATCAGGATCCCTTCCCACTGGCCTAAGAGGTGAATTGCACTCTCAGGGTCTGTGTCTCCAGGGGAGAGGGACGTGCTATGCATCCTGTCCCTACTCCAAAGCCGCACTATGGAGCCCAACAAACAAAGAACAAAGCTCTCCCCTGCTCCTGTTTCTGCTGTTCTGCTCCTTTACATTCAGTACAGCCAGACCTGCCCGATCCCACCTGCCAGGCACTCCCCCACTGTCACCCTGTGCTGCAGGGTAGACTCCATGGGATAAGACTGAATACCTGGAAGAAGATCGCTTCTTTTCTACAGGACAGCTGGGATTATAAACAGCCAGGACTTGTATGACTCTGTCCCCGTGGAGTGACCCTTGGTCCCAGGAAAGGATTCCAGACTGCGTAGATGGATGGTCTGCTTCATAACTTTGAACCAAATCCTCTGTCTGCACAATGTCACCACCTTTGGTTTTATTCTGATTGCAAACACTTTCTATAAGGTTACCTCTTAACCTTGACTAGGTCACTACGCCCATACTCCAGCAAAACAACCTAGGGTCTTAAGGTTTTGCTAAATGCTCTTCCCTGCCTTGCACTACAACTCTTAATATATTATTAACTTTTTACAGGGTACCAAGGGCAGCTCAGGCTCACCAGGTGCCATTGGACCTACAGGAGAAAAGGTGAGTTGGACAAGGGGCCTGAGGGAAAGCAAACTAGTTTGAATTTAATAAGATCTTCTAGAAATAGTGGTGCTGCTGGTTACTCTCAAAGGTATCAAACACGTTGAGCAATTGATCACGTTGGGTGCATCTACATGTCACCCTACGGTGATGTTGCTATGGCACTTCCTCTTGGAAGTACTAAAGCATGGTGCAGTACGGGCGGGTACTGCATTGTGCATGCAGCGCATGGGTAAATTTTGCTGCTACGTTACCGTAGCAGCGTGCTATACCCAGGGAGCATGCCGCTATGGTGACTAGCTGGCGATCATGTGTAGACACATGTGATTGCTACATTGCTGTAGTCTGCCATACAGCAATGTAGTGCGTTGCTACATCACTGTAGGGCAATGTGTAGAGGCTCCCATTGAGAACTAATGGGTGGAGTCTCAGGATGTGACCTTGCACTGGGGTCTGAATCAACTCCACAAAGTATACGGAGCTAACACTAGAGCAGATATTGGTGTGTAAGCTAATAGCAACGCTCCCATCAACTTGCAGAGGAGCAGACGATGATCCTATGGGCCTGTCCCCATTGTTTTAGGATTGCTTGGAAATGAGAACAGCCGGCTGTGGCTTATATCCCTATTCTTCACAGGGAATTATTGTTCATAAACTATTTGTACAACGGGCCGCTTGGTGTGAGCTTACCTGCCTTTGTTCTGGTTCCTGCTCTGCTTGATTTTCCTTCCTGAAGCACTGCCAGATGCTTTTGTGAACAGATAGTCTGTGGCTGACATGTCCACCCGCAATGAAACATCCGGATAGGAAAACTTGGCGAGGAATCATACGTTTGTTAGCTCTTTTGATCATCAGTGCAATCTGTGCTCCTGACAAAATAGTCACAGCTTGTTCTCTTGCCTTTAGATTGCTCTTCATATGAATTGGTCCAATTCACTCCTTTTTCCAATGATGGCCAGAAGCATTTGATGCAACTTTCTGGAAATCATCTGGAAAACATGAGCACATCCCTCCTTTTCCTTTCTTTGGTGAGAAGAAAATTCAGACTCTGACTCAGATTCCATTCTGTCTGTGAAACGTCTAAGCCTCCATGGAAGCTAACCTCTAAAATATTAACCTGGCCTCAGGAGAGGGATCTTCCTCCAACCAGGGAGGTGAATAGCTCTCCCATTTGCACAGTGAGCAGCCTTCTCTGTCTCCAGAGCAGGTGAGCACTGAAGAGAGAGTCATTTGAAGGCATCCAGTAGGAAACGATAGTTATGGGGCAAAGGGTGAAGTCCCTGTGTTGAGCATGTCCATTATCCCAAGATCCAAATCATGAAGAGGAGGAATCACCCTTCTTTTATGTGCCCATCACCCCCGGGTCAGGGTTGAGAGACACTGGATGTGTTTCTTGTTGAAGAAGCTGGGCCACTGAGCAAAAGAAATGCAAGGATACTGTAGTCAGAAGGAGAACAAGGATACAGGACAGAGGATGCCCTCATCTCTGCCTGGCCCAGGGCCTGGTAATTAGGGCACTTGCCAAGCAAATGGGAGAACTGTATTCTTAATGTCTTACTCTGCTAGAGGGGGCTTTGACCCACTTCCTCCAATTTCTCAGGAGTGCCCTTATTACATGGTTGTGGGCCAGGCATCCTCTTCCTTGCTCTTCTCCAGGCCCCAGCACTCTTGCTCTCCTTTTTTTGGTAGCCCAGCTCCTTCAGCTAGAATCAGGTCTGGTGCATTGAAACCCTGAGCCAGTAGTTTCAGTGAATGATACCAGTAACACCCACAGCACTATAATACAGGAGAAGTGAACATCATGGGGAACAGGGGTGTAGTGCTTGGGTTTCTGTTTAGGTTTAAAGGCAGTATTGGTCCCTCGTGTAAAGCAAAAGCAAGTCTGGGGTGACAGTGGGAATGCAACAATCTGAAATGTGCACTATTGAGAAGAGAATCAGGCAACCTGTATTCTTCCAGTGCTGGATTCAGAGTCCTCAGAAATCAGCAAGTGTAGATGAGTCCAGAAAACAAAGGGAAGAATTCAGGTTAGTGAAGAGAGTTGAACCAAAAGAGGCATTGAATCAGCAAGACCGTGGCAGTGGGGATGAGTTCATGTGAAGGTTGCTTCCCACCTCCATCTACATGCAAGGAGCTGCCTAGAAAAAATGACAAACTACTCCCCTCCTCCAACTAATTATTTGCTGCTCTCAGAGGTTATTTTTAGTGTTGAGTTTTACCTTGTTATTTTAAAACTAGCAATTAGTCTTTCCAGGGCAGCCTCATGCCACTTTCCTCTAACATGCATCATGTTTGTTAATTCCATGTCTAATTCACGGGCATTAAGGGGAAAACAGTTGCCTTATTCTTTCCGTGAAGTAGTTAAATAACCCTTTGACTGATGAGCATCCCAAAACACAGGTGTCCAAAACAATCTGCTTTTTTTGCCATTACATCTCTGCTTGGATTTCACAAAGTTATGATCAGACAAGGTTCTTTGGGTAAATCTTATCTCTTTTATTAGACCAGCTAGAATAGTTGGAAAAATTCTTCTTAGCAAGTTTTTGGGTGCTAACAACTTTCTTCAGTCAGAGGAAGAGTTTGCAGTTGTTTTGTGCTCTTCCTGGATGGGATCGAAGCCAAGAATTGCAAGTGGGTGAGAATGCAAATGTGTGATAGCGAGGGTCAGAGGGGTGAGACAAAATGGGTGAGAAACAGGTGGGGTGGGGAGGGGAAGGGAAAAGATGACCTTGTGATAGAATATATCTGGTAAATTGTAAAGAGGTTACCTAGGATATCAGATGTTATGCAGGTTATTATGTGCCATAAATCCAGTTTCTGTATTTAGTCCATGATTTTTTTGTATCCAGGAGTTGATGAAGTGAAGTTTGTTGGCTCATCTGCGAAAGGAGTTTTGTAAACTCCCTTTGAGGATTAGAACTGAGAAATTGGAGAGAGAGTGGTTGTCTTATGAGAAATGTGTCCCCATGGGTAATTGGGTATTTTTGTCTATGATAAATGTGTGGTATAGTGCACAGTTGTAGTTTGGCTTCTCCTACATATTTTCCACTAGGGCATTCATTGCACTGGATGAGACATATAACATTTCTGGAGGTGCAGGTGTAAGATCCAGGAATAGTGATGGTTCTGTTGTGGTGTGTAGTTATTGTGGGAGTGGTGGAGGTGTGTTGGCAGGTTTTACATTTCTTGTCCCGGTATGGTCTGGATCCATTTGGTGTGTTTTGGGCCGTAGGAAGTTCACTTCTGGTGATGAGGTAGGCAAGATTTGGTGCTTGTTTAAAGGCTAGGATAGATGGATCTGGGAAGATCTGTTTAAGAATTGGGTCTTCTTCTAATAAGGGTTGTAGTTGTTGGAGGATTTTCCATAGAGGTTTCAAGGAGGGATGGTATATCAAAAAGTTATGGTGGATCTTCAAGGGTACCCAATAGTATTAGGCAACTTAGTTCCCTTTGGCTCTTTGGAAATCCTATACTATAGGAGCCTAAATCCATTACATTCCTATAAATCAGGAAGTATGTGAAAGATGGGGTAAGTCAACCAGGGAATTAAATGATCAATTAAGGAAGAACAGGATATTGCAGATAAGGGAACTTATATAGTTTTTTCTTCCATCAGTCCCTGCCTGGGGGTATGCTAAAGAGATACCTATATAAGCCCCACTTTTACAGTGTAATAAATATTTGGGACTGTTAGAGATAGAAGTGCTGGAACAAACTTATACATTAGAAAGCAATAAATCACCAGGATGGAGACGTATCATCGAAGAGTCTTGAAGGTACTTATAGTATGGTTCTGGTCTGCACAGTAACTTTGCAGATGACACTCTGGGGTCCATATTTGATGCAAATCATTGATAAAAATCACACGCGCTTCATAAGCAAGGGCAGATGTTTATTTTTCTCCCTAAATCCGAGTCCTACAAAATCCCCCAGTCATCTGAGAGTTGAGCTGTGCTTTTTTATGTCGTTTGTTTATTTGGGTTTTAAAATGTATTTCATATATAAACACTAGTGTTAAAGTGTTTTAAGCTAGATTACTGTTTATCAATCCGGTTCTTCACTGCATGACTCCAGTTTTATGCTATCTGAATTCGACTGGAAACAGTGGTGTTACATGTGATTAAAACTGATTGGATCGGGCCCTCCATTTTACTGCTGTATTATAAACTTCTTGGTGAGTTCTCCTTTTCTGGCATGTTACCTGGGCGCAGTTTGAGTGTGGACAAAGCAGACTGTTAAGGCAAACAGCTGCTATTAAAAAGAAAGTTTGGAGAGGGTATTTTTAAATGTCATTGCTTTTTCTTTTCTCTGCAGGGTGAACCAGGGCTCCCAGGATTACCAGGCTCTGCGGTAAGAGGTTTCTTCAGCATTAACACGATACATAAGAAGAGAATGGGGACACTAGGGCTGGACTGGGAGGATTTTGTTAAGTAAGGGACGGATTTAGTTCTGAATTTTAAAATGAACAGGAGGCTTATGCCAATGAAAATGTCTAAGGAGCAGCATATCGTGAGTACCAGTGAGGAGATTACCTCCTCTGTTTTGGG